GTTAGCTCTGACCCCGGATTGAACATTTTCCCCGGATTTTAACAGTGTTCAATACTGCCGATGGCCGAGGTTCCCTGCGTCACTTTCACTGGTTTGCTTGATTACTAACACTACCGTTGTTGGGACGTTCTGAGAGCGGGAGACGCATGGGCAGGTGCTACCTTGGGTCGACCATGGTGTTGGTTCGGTACGGATATGAGGCTTGTTACGGAGTGGCTACGTCCTACGGTGTCTGACGTGCTTCAGGTACGGTATGGGCTTGGTGACACCTGTTTCACTACGGTGACTTATTTTCAGGTTTGGGACCTTGGCGGCAGTTTGTTTTCAGGTCCGGAGACGTTGCGGTGTCCTATATCAGGTTCGGGACAGGTACGGAATTATCATGGCATGGTTGTACGGGTTCGGCGTCCGCGTGGCACAGCAGCCCGGTATTGGATTTCGGGTTTGATCAGGATTGGTGGCATCGCGTTGTTTCGTTTCAGGTTCGACGCCCTCACGGCGATCTATTTTAGATTCGGGACCTCTGTGGTCATTTATTCTCAGGTCCGGAAGCACTATGACGATCTATTTCAGGTTCGGGACCTCTGTGGTGATTTATTCTCAGGTCCGGGAGCACTGTGACGATCTATTTTAGGTTCGGGACCTCTGTGGTGATTTACCTTCAGGTCTGGAGCCACTATGACGATGTATTTCAGGTTCGGGATCCTAGTGGTAATTTATTTTCAGGCTCGGCGGTGATTTTTTTTCAGCTCCGGCACCGCTGCGGCAGACTATTATCCGAATTCGGCACCCTCACGGTGGCATGTGTCAGGTTCGGTGCCATTGAGACAATTTATTGGGGACACTGTGGCGACCTATTTCAGGTACGCCGTCGCCACGGCGGCTTATTTCAGGTTCTGCGGCTTCGGGACGATTTATTTTCAAGTCTGGAGACTGCTGCGGTGGTCTGTCTCAGGCCCGGAACCTGGACGGCAGGTTATTCCAGGTTCGGTGCTATCACAGGTAATTAACTCAGGCTCGGCACCATCACTGCGGCCATCTATACCCAGTTTGGTACCACGACGCCCAGTTGTTGACCCGAGGACAGTGCTCACGTACCACCCGTAATGAACCTGTGCTGGGCCTGGTACCGACGGTCTCGGCAGTACAAGCAAATGTGGAATGAATATAGGGGGGAACAGAGGAGAGATCGAGGACGGTATGCAAGGTGTACCTGGTGCCCAGCGCAGGGGGATGCAGGTAGGTCAACACGTTGAAGCGCAAGCAACCACGGGGGGACGGTATGTAAGGTGTACCTGGCGCCCAGCGCAGTGGGATGCAGGCAGGTCAACACGTTGAAGCGCAAGCAACCACGGGGGAACAGTGTGCAAGGCGTACCCGCAATACCTGGCTCAGGGCGGAAGCATCGAGGGGCAGACTGATGCACGGGGGATGAGGAGAGAGGACTGAGGGATTGCATGGGAGGTGTGCCCGGCGTCAAGGAGTTGCAGAGTGGGAGGCAGGCACGAGGGAGACGAGTCGGCGCTCAGGCCGTTACTCGCGTGTGAAAGGAAGAGTGAGAGAGAAGGGGACTGCACAGCGGGAGCGAGAGACTGCGGGTGAGAGAGATAGTGATTGTGCAGTGAGTGAGAGAGTGAGAGACTGCACAGATGGAGAGAGAGTGTGCACAGTGAGAGAGAGGGAATGCACTCATTGAGAAAGACAGTAAGTAAGAGAGAGAGAGAGGAAAAGAGGATCCTGTAGTGAACTAGCTGATGAGAAAGAGAGGGAGGAAGCAAAGTGGGAGAAGGCAAATACAGTTGGCTCGCCGAGTGAGGGAACACTAATTAGTAATTACCTTTGAAAACAACAGCTGCTAATCACACAACTGGCGTGCCAAGTGCTGGTCCACTAATTACCTCTGAATATAACAGTTGCTGATCACACAGCCGGCTCACGAAGTGCGGATGCATTTATTACTTCTGAACTCAAATACAACTGCTGATCACACAGTTGACTCTGAACTCAAATACAACTGTTGATTACACAGTTGGCTCTTCGAGTGCTGGTGCACTAATTACTTCTGAACTCAAATACAACTGTTGTCAATGCGAGCTCACGGGGTCAGGCTATGGACGAAGGGATATGGAAAATGGACAAAGAGTGCACAGACTGAGAGAGAGAAGAGAGAGAGAGAGAGAGAGAGAGAGAGAGAGAGAGAGAGAGAGAG